ACATCCTATTAAGATTCAAGCCTAGGTATCACTTTTCAAAGATTGTTTCGTTAAAGATTGATCGTTTGAAAAGAAATTTGAAATATTTCTTCTCATAAAATCAATTTTCCACTTATCTAGGGTCTTCAGATTTTTGAAAAGAAGATGGAATTGTGAAAAATAGAATAAAATTTACGAAGTAGATTAAAACGAAATAGATATTTGATTGATCTGACATGTTGGATAATCATTATTCATATATTCTATTATATATTATTATAGTCAGCTCTTCATTTTCAGAAGTTAGAAGAGTAGTCGGACAGTATTTTTATATTCAAAAAACGTATTTCGCCCATTCACTATTGTGCTGTGGCGAATAGATGTTCTCTCAGCCGGACGGGACGAGATCGAAAGATCGAGGTATTGATCGTAAGCGGCTTGGTCTGTGGGGTCTCCTCCTTTGTGTTCACGATCGGCTATTGGCTGTGTTCGCAAGTTCACACCTTGGCATAATCGACGTGTTTCAAGGAGCAAGACACATTTGGCAACTTTACAATTGTGACACTTATACCCCACAGCACACAATCTTTCTTTCATCGAAAAAACGACCATTCAAATACTTACACACACACACACACACACACACACACACACACACACACACACACACACACACACACACACACACACACACACCATAAATGCGAACGTGAACGTATATAGATCATTTGTATTTCATCTTAATTCTTTCTCTATTTACTGTCTTATGCTAGCTATCTTCTAAGATTAATGGAAATAAGTGATTCCGATGAATGGGATTCTGATGAATGGGATTATTATGTGTCGTATCATTCCGCACTTGGACTTGAAATAAATCAGAACGTAACTGTGGAATAAAACGCAAAAAGTAAATTTGTGAATAAAAATCTTTTGTGTTTCACATATATTTATAAAAAAATATTAAATTTTTATAAACATTTAACGAGCCGTTACGTGTGAAGGGAGAGGGGGAGAAGAGGTGGGTACTAATTTGCCATTTAAATCTTTATCCGCCGAGAAACTTGCCAAACTCTTATGGGCGAAAAGCTGCTTCCTTTTCTTCAGCAGTACGTGCTTCACGTACGCGCTCACGCACGCACTCACGCACGCGCTCACTTATTCACGCACTAACACGCACGCATTAACACGGACGGTGTGTGGTGTGCGGCTCGTGTGTACGGGGATTCTATAATATAAGTTCATCGCGGGCGCGCTGATGCGTACGTAATCCCGTGGTGCTTACCGATAGCATCACCAGGGTTTTATTTTCATTATTCATTTGTACAGCCTCTCCCCATAGACCGGCCCGGAAAGCTTACACGTATAACCCCATGTTTCTACGTCGGTTTAATCAGATAAAACCCTGCCAGCGAAAATCGGCGGGCCTCACCGCGGCATGCGGCGGCCGTTTTTGGTCGCGACGCGACGCGCAAAACGACGTGCGTTTGAACGTGCGGGCTCACAAGTCCAGTTACACGTTTTAACACGAGGTGTAACACGAGGACAGAGATACCCGTTACGTTATATCGATACGATAAGATCGAGTCCGTGTATTACGAGACACCGTTGATGAGTTGTTGAAGCTAATTGGCGATAATACTACATTGCGCGAGAGCGGTTCGGGAAATAAAACTTCTCGTTAGACTCGATGTAATCAACGTTATCTCGCGTGTTTTTCGCCGCGTCGTTATATCTTATTATCGAACGTGCGAAATAGAGCTCTTTCTCGCGATCGATGATTATTCGTTGATTACGTTAATTGAACGTCGGCGCGGTATTAAGCGCGATATTTATGCGGCGACTTGAAAGTAATTGTTGCTGTATATCATGCCGCGTGCGAAAGTTACCCGGGTTTGCGGGTGTGCGCGTTCGCCGCGTGGTTTTTTTTTTTTCCGCGTACATACACCGCGAGACTTCATCAAATTCTTTAATTACCGAGTGAAGGATGATGTAGGAAGCGCGAGAGTCACCGCCGGAAGGATAGGAGAGAAGAAGCGAGGAGAAATAAGAGGAATGTAATTAAGGGATTAGCTTAGTTAATGCAGACGCTGGCTTAACGAATCGTAATGTAGAGGGCTGTTACAAAAATATGTTTCGCCGAGCGCCAAGTCAGCCGCGCTTGATTAACGAAGTGCATGTCTCGGGAAATTTT